TACGAACATATTGCATAAGACGGACTTAATGCCACAGTCATTTTCTTCCTGTCAAACATTTAGGTGTTGCACCTTAGTATATCTTCACTGCACAAATAAGCTATGCTTTCGATTATTTAAATTGAGTTCGGTACAATGAAGAATTAACTGCATTAGCTTTAAGGTCAACCCTTAACTTGATACATGATTTGCAACTTAACGAATAAGTGTAAGTTTAGTTGTAAAAATCATATCAATATTCAATCAGAGTAGAAACTGAACTGTGATTTCTATTAGTGAAGTTTCTGCAATTTGAAACGTATGTGTCTTTATAATAAGTGAATTGATTTCACTCACAGTAAACACAGTGCGTGAAGAGGTTTATCGCTCCATAGATAAAAGGCACCCACTCTCTCTTAATCTTTATCTGTCTGTTTGGAGATTAACTTGCGTTCAAACAATTGTTTAAATTATTTGCTTTTATATATCACACAATCGGTAAGACAAAGAAGTAATTGATTTATTTGTAATTTTACAGGTGAACCATTTTGCATTATTTTTTCAATTAATGTTGTACAATTATGCTTTTTAGCCTTACACTATTGTCTTCTGTTATCTTAAATTAAACTTGTGGCAACTTCCACGTACCATGAAAAAAAACATTCTTCAGAGCCATCTAACGAAGACACACCAAACTACGGACTAACTGCTAATCCTGTATCGCGAAATGAAAAGTTCTCACACCGTTGGGCGGCCCAACGGTTGATTTTGGGTCCAACTTGGGTCGCCGTCCGCCAGTCATGATCGCCCTTCTCCTTGAGTTGGATTGACGTAGAACCCGTTGCTCCACTAACTTAATAGAAGTGTTTTTTGGTATTTTTAAATACCTTTTGTTTCTAATAAGTAAGTTTATTGTTATTTACGTCTTTGTGTTACTGAAGGTGTGATATAAGGTGCTTAGGTCTTCGTGAGCTCTCCAAGTGCAGGAAGCCGTAAGACTACGTCGTGACCCTGGTCTCTTCATGCTACTGTGGTTTCAGACAAGTTGCTCATCTGATACTTGGGATAACCCTTACCTTAAATCCCTCGATTATTTTTACTTCTGAAAACGTTCATTACATTCCTAATGTGGGTTAATTGGCGTCAGGCCAGTCTTAAAAGAAACATGGGAAAACGCTTTGTAATGTTCAATATGGCGACGACCCGATATACAATTAGAAAAGGGCTGATAGGTGATAATGATACTTATTTTATTTGGGTCTAAGGTCCTTAATTTATTCAGGAATGATTTATTTTAAAAACATGCTAATTTGAAAGTTTATAGGGCTTTTTAATATTCCATTAAAGCAGTATCTATTGTTAAATCATTTTCATTAAATTGAATTTAGGCCTTCATTTCTCAATCTTGCTAGTATCAATCAATTCACACTTATCAGTCACTCGTGCCTGATGATTTCGCAATAAATATCATTCGCCATCAGTCATTTTATCGATGGCAATCGGTATCCGTCACTTGCAGTCTTAGCTGTTACAAAAAAAAATGCAGTAAACCTACCATAAAATGGACGCCTAAACCAGGCAGGAGCCCTAATCCACTATCTATCCGTTCCTATACCTGTCTTGTCTAAAAAATAAAGTGTGGTATTGATTTATATGCTACACGAGTATAATAAATAATTCAGTAAACCTCACTACACCTCGTTAACCTCTGTATGAAGTAGCGTGAGGGTATTTGATTGCAAACACAAATGTGTCACAGGATGCATGCGCCGGCGCAGGCGTGAAGATCGCAGATCCAAGATGGTGGATAAGCGCAATTAATTCGGTAACGCTTTCTCTACGGTCGTTCAGTATTTAGTGGTGCGCATGCTTCTGTGTTTTGATGTTGGCTAACTTAGAAGTTGTACTAAATTATAGGGCTGTGCAATCTGATTGTTTTAAGTTACGTAATTACAAGCTGTTAATTCTCAAACATGGAAAAGAAAAAGTTACCTTTTTTCTGCATAAAACAACATTAAGGCACACATTGGAGTGTTATAACACAGAATATGTATTTTGCACAGTTCTGCATCACGGATAATAAAGCTCGAAAGATCAAGATCACAACAAGGAACAAATACTGTCCCTCTGCGGGGCGCGAAGCTGAGTAATTATTCGTTTTTGTTACGAGAAACTTTTAGATAATTTTTGATATTATTAAGGGTTTCCCTATAAAACAAAACATTAAAAAAATTCCAAGTAGGTTATGGTATGCAAAGAAAACCAGAAGATAGTCAATTTTTTATTCGTCTGAGGCGTGTTACCTTTCGGGATTTAGTTAACGATTTAAGGTATTTTTTTTTTAAGTCTCCTTCTAATTTGTGGCCAATATAAGTGTTTTACAGACAAACTCATTTTGTTTGTATCATCTTGCAATGCCACTTCGCTTTATAAACCTTCTTTCAGCTCTTCGACATAGTGCAAGTGTGGAAATCCATGTAATAAAAAACTGTTATTCCAATGTAACGCACATATCAAAGTTGTGGTTAGAATAATAATATTTGTTAAGAAAATTGAAAACTTTTTAATGATACCGATATTAATCTAAATGATTTACTGTTAGCGTTCATAACCAGCATGCGCACACGCAATTTAGTGATTTCACTGTAAGATAAAGTATCTACAATTGTTCACACTCGCAGTCATTTTCTTAGGACAAGTGGTATGAATACAACATTAAGGAATATAGGGAATACAGACATCTAAAACAAGCTGGTAGCTAACTTTTTTGCAACCAAAGTGGCTAAGAAACCCACTAAAAATTATTAACTGGAGAAACTTAACACACGGTGTGTTAGGCTATTTCTCTAAATTAAGTCAAAACCTGGCAGTCAATTTTTTTGCAACCAAAGTGGCTATGAAATATAATAATACTAGCTTTTGTCCGCGGCTATTATAGTATAGTTGTTTGGAAAATCATGTAAATTTGGATGAAAAAATCGAATAATATCTGTAAAGATGTATGTTTGTAAGACTCGTAGTAATAAGGCCTTGGGAGACCTTGTGTCCATTTAATTAACGTTAAATTTATTCTAAAAGTTTCAGTGCCTATTAGTGTTGTTTTATTAGTTTTACTGGTGACCCTCAAGATTACAGAAGGTAAAGAGAAAATGGCTACATACATTGTTGTATGAAAAATGTCCTAGCGATACGCTGTGCCGGCGCAGATGTTGTCTAGATCTGCGCGGGTGCATTGCAGCGGTAACACTTGAAGGCCGTTAGTTTACCTGAACGGACAGTTAGTAGAATGGACAACAACAAAAAATCCCTATATGTGCTGATTGTAATAGGAAATGTGTAAAGGTTCTGCAGGGAATACTAAGGCTAAGTTTTTGAAGTTAGCCTTATTCTCCTTAATACTGAAGTAAGGCCTATACAAAATAAACAAAACAAAGAAAAACATTAAAATATATATAAATGATAAAAAACTGTAACAAAAAATAAAATAAAACTTCTTTTTTAATTCTATGTTATATATGCACTTAATTAATAAAAAAGCAACGAAAACGTTAATTAACACAAAAATATCATGTGTATGTAGAAAACGCCCTATATGTTTTTATTTGTTTTTTATTAAATTACAAATTAAAACTCTAATTAGTTGTTCAGACTCTGTTTTATAGTTATTTAGAGAAATAAAGATCTACATTTGTCGCTTCTATATCTTTAGAGCATACATACATATTTATTTATTGTTATAACTTTATTGTTATATTAGTTATTTATTGTTAAATATGCATTTTGGTAAGGTTAGTAAGATATTTTGTACATTTTTTATTAAGCCATTGATTTTTATAAATATATTCTTAGAATCACTCAAAAAGATATGTATTAAAAAATTTACTAAATGAAAACAATTAAAAAAATGGTATGTATTTATTTTTTGCGTCTGGAAATCAATGAATGTGTCGATCTTGAACTGACTGTCTTAATGGTATACCATTTGACAGTCAATTTTTACCGTCAATTTTTTGTCAGTTTTTACCGTTTTAAATGATTTTTTGTTGTTGTCCATTCAGAACGGGGAATCAAGGTATGCCCTAAAGAATTACCACTCAACACCTGACATCCTTTGATTGACCACCCTCGCCACCACCACGCCTCCTCCGTCAGGTGGTGTTGAATAGTGTTTAAAATACCTTGCCCCCACCTCCCACTGTTTCCATTCATGTGTGCCAGATGCTCTTAGGTTAGCCCTCATGGGGGCAGGAGCTCGAATACACTAATAGTACATCCTTTTTTACTATGGTCCATTCGCTTAAGAAAATAGACCTGACCTGACCAATCAGGTTCCAAGCTTTCTTACGAAACAATAATTTCCCAAGCGGGGTTTGTCAAAACGTCACTGTTTTTTTAACGCGAATGGGTAATACTTGACACCGATTGGCCGAAAATAATTTCGCATGATGTTTTCTTTTTAATTTGCCATGAAATTCTTTCACACGATATTTAAATATTATAAACAAAACCAACATAACTGTATACAGAATCCTAAAACGTGAACATGATATATTTCTCGCTCAGTTGACGCTGGCGCAGATGTACGCTTACCGGAGTACGCAATGACGTGTGACGGCCTAATGAGTATAGCGTGCTCAATGCAATATACACTACGGATTATGTTTTATTAAAATCTTCTACAAAGTAAGGAAAACTCGATCAAATTGATATGACATTTTAGAGTGATTACATTGTACCCTTAGAATAAAAACATGCATCAGTGACATGTAGTAACGACATCCAGCCAGGAATCGTCGGGACTCAGGCCTTAACACTACACAGTGTAGCGATAGACGCGTCCCGTTGCGATCATTGATTGATAAAAATTTCATAATTTATTGATTTATTTTCCCCCTTTTTTTTTTTTGTTCATTTCCATTTATAATTACATCATAAAATTCAAGTATATTATGATTCAATTAATTTACTTAATTTATGTATTTTGCAACTAAATTAATACAACGGTAAATTTTAAAGTATACTCACGAGACATCAGGCGTGGTATTAGTCAAGAGACGGACACAATCCAGGCAGCCCCGCGCGGCAGCATAGTGCAGCGCCAAGGCGCCATTGTTGGCGCGACCGCCTGCGGCCGGCATCGCTCGACCGCACCACCAACCCTCGACCGCTAATCGACCGCTCCTAAACAACAAACAAAAAACATAGATAGAGAAAATGCCAACTTTAACGTCATCTATCGGAGACCAGATGAACTACGTTGTTACAGATCCTGTATCGCGCAATAGAAAGTCTCATACTGATAAGTATAATTATGTCTAATATCGACTCGGCATCGGATTTGCGGACTAGTCAATTTTGATCAGGGCAGGATCAGTTTTCAATTCCAATTTTCAAATCTGTTATTTCCAAACTACTGATATTTCCAAAGTGGCCGGATTGAAGACAATGGTATGATCCCGTACCATACATGACTGGAACTATACCATAAATAGCGAAATGTTTGTTTAATACGCTCTGCCTGTTGATACAGGCACGAGTGTGTATATGTGTGTGTATTTTTTAAATGACAACTTTCACGGTATTTTCTTTACATATATTTGATTTCAGTGAATCTAACATTTAACTTGATAATAATGCTATGTAATACTAAGTTCGAAATATATTTAAAAGATTTCATGTAAACGAATTTTCAATGCCTGTCTCGTATTAACTTGTATTCTCAGTAAACTCGCTACTAAAACTTTAATTCAAATGAAATCCTGAATCCGAATAACTGAAAAATCCCGATAACTGAAATTGACATTGTAATTTTGTAAAGAAATTGTTAGAAATAATATTTTAGTTAAATAATAATAAAAAGTTACATAAACTTTTAAAGAGCAATAATAGAAAAAAATACTTAAATCATTTTTAAATTGGATGTAAAAAATATTTAAAAAATACATTTAAAAAAGCATATTTAAAAAAAAAGTATTTTCAATGTAGACTTTATTTCTAGTACTTTATTCCTCTAAAATGTCTATTATATAATAGTAATGGCGATTGATCTGCAGCTCGGCAGCAGCAAATAATAAACTTAAAAAGGAGAACCTTATCAAACAAAATGTGTGACTAATTGTTGATGCCTTATACCAAAATTAATTTATATAGAACACACACAAAAGAGTTGTTCATTTCAATTTATTAGATTCCAAGATGAACTTAACAACTCTTATCTCATCCATCGTTGCATTCAAAAGACATAAACGCGTCCATCACAATTGTAGAATGCCGTCAGTAACGCCATCTAGCGAATAATAGCTGAACTTTAAAAACTATTTACTCCAGACACACAAGTAGCTACATTGAACTACAAAGCTTTTTCTATTGTTCTATAGATGGCGGTTTAATAGCAAGACAATTATTGGCTGTTTGTGCACTTTATAAGACAAGGTAGAGACGTTTAGTCTTGACATTTTCAAAATAGATTAGTTTTAGTATTAAATAAATTTAAAATGTTTTCCTAAATAATTTATTCATTGAAGAGAATTAATGAACGTCATCATAGCATTACAAAACTAAGGAATTATTAATTGCATCTTTTCCGGGAGGAGGTTCCACAAATAAATTAAAAATAAATTGGACAATAAATGAAAATGCCAAATTTTAAATTTGTGTTCTCGATTATTTTCAAGACATAGTTTGTTAATAGTGGAACCAGTTATTATATTAGAGGTCCGCACGTCAAAAGTAAAAACGTAATAAGGGTTTAAGAAAATAGGTTTATTTGTACTTACGTAGGCTACAATATATAGGTATGCAACCTAATTGTATATATGGATATAAAGTTTCTGTTTTTTTAAAACCCTGGAAGGTTCTTTACTTTAATTATTTTTAAACATTAACATGGTCTTTCGAACCTGCAATAACTAGAAGGACCATGTTATCTAGAAATCAAGCTTCTGTACTGATAACCTATTACTTACGATGGACGAAATTATACTTGCCAAGATGTAAATTAATGAATGCCTTTATTTATTCTTTCGAAAGTACAGGCATAAATGTGTTTGTGTTTGTTATTATATAACAATATAAATGTATTTATTTTATTATTTTTCTCTTTATGTAAACCAATAAAAAAAACATATTTGACTAAAAGTATTACCACAAAACGGAATCAAACCCATGACCCCCATAATAATTGCAGTTGAATCTTGTATCGTCGCAATATATAATAATATAAATATAGGTGGCTATGGAATGCAGATGCTTATAAAATTAAATCAACATATTCATCTTTTATGTAACTCAAATTAATATGTACAATTAAAGTTATTTAGTTTTAATTAAAATATAGTATCCTATAAGTTTAAATGTTAATCTTTCATTTTATCACAGAGTAATTTTGTGTCACCTACAGTTGAAACCTTTATTATTACATAAGTATAGTTTTATCCTCGTTGTTTAGATTTGAGTAAAGCCTTAGCTACGTTTTAAGTGGTATAGGACTCGATGACCACATTTCATCAGTTTACTGTAAAACTAAATATCGTGCATACTTCGGTATGTGAGTTAATAAAACTTATTAGGTCAATAAATAATTAACAGAAAATCACATCAACAGCTTTTGATAGTTCACTGCTGGACATAGGCCCCTCCTTAGCAAGGAGGTTTTGCCCAACTATACCACGCTGGCCAGACGGGTAAGTATAGGGTTTGTTTCGAGTTTGCTTCTCTTTACAGTGCTGTAATTGTTCTCTTACGTAGTTTATTCGGCTCTCACCACACCTACGGGATGAATAGGGGTGGTGACACTTCTTGAAGTGTTTTTACTGATTGATTGGGGAGTAGGGTTGCCAACCATACTGTTTTAAACAGTATAATACTGTTTTTCACTAAATTATACTTTTTACTGTTGAACAAAAATAAAGTATACAAAATACTGTTTTAAGTATCAAAATGCTAACACATTATGTGTTATTAGACGCTCACACAAATTTGTTTTTATTTAGTCAAAGGGCACTTACTGCTCAGTGTAGCGCAGCCACAAACAAATCACTTTAAAAAATTAGACGGAAATAATGTGGACTGGTTTAAAGACTGAGTTAGTTCAAAGGAAAAATGATAAGTATTTTGGCCATGAAACAAAAAAGTATTAAATACTATTACAGAGTCTGCCCAAGACGTTTATAATAGAACTAAACTCGGTTCCAAAAATAACGGGTCAGTCACATAAACCCGAATATCTCCCGAACTACGTATGCCATCCTAATGAAACGAAGACTGTTCAATTGAGAATTTAATTATACAGATAAAAAATTAAATAAAACTTAAATCTAAACTCTCTAACTCTTAACTTATCTCTAAATTAAAAAAAAAACTAAAGTAGTCATATTTTTCTTAAGATTACATTTTTTTATGATTGTTTTTTTGCTGTTTTTCATCACTTTCTTCATTTAATACTTTGTATTGCCTCCACGAGCTCTTCTGACAGTTTCCAGGCAATTAGGCATGCTGTACACCAAATTTCGGAGCCGGTGCTGAGGAATACCTTCCCATTCCTCCACCAGTGCTTGTTTGAGCTCGGGAAGCGTGATTGGTGGGGGGTTTCGACCTTTCACGCATCTCTGAAGCTCGTCCCAGGCGTGCTCGATTTACATCCGTGTGGTGACGGATTAATAATACGGAGTAATACCACCCCTGTTCATCCTGTAGGTGTCGTAAGAGCCAACTAAGGGAGCAAACTACGCAGGACAACAGCACTGCAAAGAGAAGGAAAACTTGACACAAACCATATACCAAGCCGTCTGGCCAGCGTTGTATAGTAGGCCTAAATCTCCTTTCTAAGAACAGACCTAAGTCCAGCCGTGGACTCTTAAAGACAGTTAGTTGATGATGAGATTTACTGAAACCTTGGTATCACGGCCCATATGTGCCGTAAAATGGCTCCTCCACGCTACATATCACAAACAGTACAGAAATATTTCAATGTTCGCGTTACACGATGTGTATCGATCACTTCATACTTGTCAAACGCTAAATACATATAATTAATGAGTAGAAATCACAATACAAAACGGTTGGTAATAGTAATTACACAGTTCAATATACGGGCAGTCAACGACTTTGATGTGTAGTGTATAAAACAGCGATGATGAAACGCATGTACAACAAATCATGTTTTTTTTAATATGATGTATTTTTTGTTAATATTCTCTCGAATGCTATTATTAAAATTAACCTACTTAAGATGTCCGAACTATGATTGAGAGGATATTTACTAGTTTTTCTAATAGTACAGGGAAATGTTGGTAGATTTTCCTATACTGATAGGCTGGTGTCTATCTGGAAAATTTACCTGTTTGTAACCACGTTTGTGACCAATAAAGAATTTTTATCAATTAAAAAGTATGACCGACTTCAGTACGCCAATACATAATGGATGGTAATAAACTGTAATATTCCTTTTTTTCACCTTAAGAGGGGTCAATTTAAAAAAAAAAATCCTATATAAACAAGGATTAAATGATAGAGCTCTGAGGCAACCAAATTAAAAAAAATCTGAATAATTAAGATTCTCCTTCCTCCTTTGTTTCAAGATCGTTAAAAAGTTTTCCAATAAATTTATTAATTAGACTGAAACTTATAGAAACAATACATATTTATTTTACAACAGATCCATGTAAAAGTTTTAATATGCTTGTGTTATAGATACAAAAACTACATACATACGATAAGAACCCTATGCGGGTCTTAGGCTATTGATAAGCGCCAACTGAGAGACTTGAAGTAGCGGCGGTTACATGGTATATAAGAATTAGGATAAACTACTGAACTAAATAACTAGACCGCACGGATGGCGTAGTGGTTTAAGCAGTCGCCACGCCGCTCACTACTCCGCTGAGTGCTGTGTCCGATCTCCACATGGGACGACACTTTGTGAGATTCACAAATGGTTGTTCTGACACGACACAGATTTATGCCTAGTGCGGGAGTTGTCTTTAAAAAAAAATAAAAAAAATAGGATAAGCTTTACAGTATCATATCTTAACAAAATTATTTAAATCTGAACAAAAAATAATATTAAACATTATTTACTTAATAAAAACTTGGTATATATTTGTACAAAGGCGGACTTAATGCCTAAAAAATTCTCCGACAGTAAATATTAGGTTTATGCAGAAATGAAATGTAATAATTGTGAATGCGAAGAGATAATAAGATAAGAGGAGAAGGGAAGATTGAAAGATCATCATTCAAAATAATTTACGAAAAAAGCAACAATAATTATGGTTAATTAGTAAGACTTTATATGTAAAATGTATTTTATTAGACTGTATAGGTATATAGTCAAGTAGTGTTCCAACTTTTCTTTATGGGTATTATTTGTTAATTTATTTCTAACTTAGCGTAGTATTATCGTAGCGGGAAGCCGTTGGATGCGGACAGCACAGGACCGGTTGTTTTGGAGAGCCTTGGGAAGGCCTATGTCTAACAGTGGGCGTCTTTCGGCTGATATGATGATAGCGTAGTCAATAAGTCAAAGGCGGTGTCCATTTTAAATACAAAATAAATATGACAACAAAAAAATAATCATAGCATTGTAAGTACATATTTAAACGGAACAGATTATTTTATCCAACCGACAAAACGCTCTAGCTATAACTGTACATCAGCTGTGGAATTCATCACACCGAACAAACCAATTTTATAATCTATGGTTTGTTATGATCAAAATTGCACACCTATTCGCAATGGCATTCTGTCATATGCTGCCCTGCTTGTCTATAACATTGTACCGACAAATTAGTCACCGGTTAAAAATGGGGGAGGACAATAGTGTAACGGTAGGCTACCCACATATCCGGAGTACGGTAGACAATTTCTAAATAGTAACCTTTTAGTGACCTCATACTAGACAAATTATATTGACTGAGTTATGGGAATCTCGGCGTGCTATAAATGGCAGTCTTTTGTCAGTTTGTTTTGTGAAGTTTTATCTGAATAATAAACATATTTCTTTTGAAGAACTTAAAAAAGGAGGTTCTGAAATCGACTGAATGTGTTTTACATTACGTTTGTAAACCGATTTGAATGTTTTTTTTTTAATTTAATTATTTCCTCTCAAGGTAATAAAAAGTACTCTACTACTGAAAGTAAAAATAAAGTTAAACCAAAACAATTTATCACAATTTGGGTGCATTCAAGTTTATCGACTTGAATGCACCCAAATTGTGATAAATTGTTTGAATTTGAAAAGAAAGTATTTAAAATTATTTTTGCAGTGTTGAAGTTTTCATCGCTAATATTTAAAGTTATAATAAAGATTTGATTAAACAAGTTTCTGTTATAAAAGAGTTCAAAATTTATCAATCAATTTCAACAACAAACTCGATTTGTCAAAATTCTTAGCTTAGTAACACTAGTGTGTTCCGTGACTTATGTTCTGATCAACCCAGTTGTACAAGTATGATCATAGTATCTGCATTTTTTAAGATAAGCAAGTAAAACATGGTAAACATGACAAAACATACTTTAATAATAAAATGTTTAGAAGGCACGTTAAGAAACAACTAAAAAAATCCTTTGTTATTTAATTTTAAACCAAAAAAAGAAAGCGTCAGCATAATCTTGTTACGTTACGAATTTTTTTATTTTTTATTCAGCAGTGTGTGTCCCACGGCCTAATTAAACAGCAGAGTAATGATTCAAACACGGAAATATTTTAAAAGTTTTATAACACATTTTTTAACATCACTTTGAACTATATAAACAAATCTAGAAAGTCAATTTTAACTCACTTATAATTCTCGTGTCGATATGAAACTTTGTATCTTTGTACTTTGAGTGACAATATTACAATTTAGCATTTTGCTGATCTGATGATGAGATCAGAAGATTTATAGTGGCTCTCTTCTGTGGCTCTCAGTAAATCCTCCGTGCTTAAGCCCATATTGTTCGTTTTCACTAGTCTAGATTGGGCTTAGTAAAACTAGCCTAATGATAGACCCAGAAGGTTGAAAGTTCTCCTCTCTTTTTAACTTGGGTTTCCATTAAAGCGTGTTTTTTGTTGATTTCTCTAAAGTATGATTTATTTTAATTATATGTATATGTATGTATTTCAACAAAGCAGTGACGCCAGTAACCTACATGATATTTTTTTTAAAAAGAGCATGACGGTGAGCTGGAGCAGATAAAAGAGTTCAATAAACAAATTATGATGATGATTACACAGTGCAGTGCATCAGTAGATAAACACATTTCAATAGTAATATAGTTGACGGTGTGGTGACGGATTAAGAATACGGAGTGTCACCACCCCTATTCATCCCGGGGGTGTCGTAAGAGCCGACAAAGGGAGTAAACTAAGCAGGACAACAACACTGCCAAGAGAAGGAAAACTTGACACAAACCCTATACCAACCCGTCTGGCCAGTGAGGTATAGCAGGCCAAAGCCACTTTTCTAAGGTGGGGCCTATGTCCAGCAGTGGACTATTAAATGTGATGATAGTTGATGAGGAAAAGACATGAAAATTATGTGGAAGTTTTGGCACTTAATGTTATAAAAGTGAAAGGTATGTATGTTGTCTGACTTTGTTAAGTTAACATATTACATAATAACTAAAAAATATTATACTTTTCTGTCAAATCATAATACTTCCCAAGATGTGCAAAACAAAAGGAAATATACTATATTATAAATTTAAATATATATATATATCATTTATATTTTACAGAATAGTCTAGTAATTTAGGAGATTGTAGACAATAGTACAAACTAATCTATTATATATTTCTAAATGTTGATATTAATTAGTAGTTTTAATATTTAACTCACCTATCCGAGTAGATTTTTTTATTAAAATGTTTAACTTTATATCGATTCGACAGGTTTTATTAAAAACTCCCTTTTTATATTTTTCTGTTTCGTTTTGGCTTGAACACTAAGTCATCTAAAGTTTAGATACTAAAAATAATAATATTATTTATCGATTTGAAAGTTATTTATTCTACTCTGTATTTGGAAGGCGGATTACCTTTCAAATATAGAGCGAGAATAACTTTAAAATTACATTTATCCACACTAGAAACATTTTTATGTTTGACTTTCCCTTAACTTCTTTTCCAGGAAAGCGTTTGCGATATGGTAAAAAATAATATATGTATTCGAAAGTATATATTTAAAAATATATATGTATATATGTAAATATAAACAAAAAATCATTACATAATGTACCATAAGATTTGATTATTTAAAACTTTTGACTAGACAGATTGGAACTACTACTACCACGACTAATACTTTATTTGAATCCCACATATAGGACAATAATTCAATATGAATCTTAAAATAGCTTTAAATTAAAATGCTTTTTTACATACAAACTGAAGGCTGTTTTAGATCCATTATTTTAAAGCCGAGAAGACAGATCAAAGCTACCAAATAATAATCCATTTAGTAAGACATTTATACACATAAAGGTGTACAACAAAAGTTCTGAGGTAACAAACATAAAAAAAAACAGTCGAATTGAGAACCTCCTCTTTTTTTTTGAAGTCGGTTAAAAAGACACAAGACAGAACAAATAAGTATTATATTGAGTAGCAAACTCTGCATAGTGCCAAAAGGATAACAAATATTTTTTTTGCATTATAAGCAGAAAATTCTAGATAAAGTCTATATTACTCACAATGTAAACATTTGTCTTATTGTAATTAATAATGAAAACATTAATAATCCTGTATATAGCAACATGAGAATCACGCTTTTGTTTGTAAATATAAATTCTTAAAAACACAGATCAATAACTTCATAACTTCGCATGTAATTGTATTGCATATGGGTTGCATATACAGTACAATTACATGCACTCGTACATCAATCTTACTTGAAAGTAAACACGCGATCCTCTTAATATTAACATTGTCATACTCACTTTCACTCTTAAAATAATTTCAAAATATTTACCTAAAGTTACCGGCGCGTAATGCAATCTCCAGCGTGTCGATGTCTTCTTCATAATCGTGGCACAACTCCATTGTAGAATTCCTCGCCTCATGTATATCAAACAACACAGCACCATCCGCCAATTTATCCGTCATCACACTTCGGTATGACCTCGTCCCAAAACTCGAGGTTACTGACGCTCCTCTAGGAAAACGTCTAGGAGGCACATTCACATTCTGGGCTAAATGTAGACCAGGTTTTTTCATTCTTCTCTTCATATATCTTCGCATCCTTAGAGACAACATCACACGAATCCGAATATGGCGTTTTATATTTCTATCGTAACGTAATTGCTCTTTCATTTTCTTGTTCCGCTTTTTTCGTTGCGGTATCTCTTCGATAGGTTCAAGCTTACGTTCAGATGTCTCACTGTAATCAATCGAAGGGGAACGATTAAAGAAATCTGTATTACTGTTCCTCCACGCTTTACTCAAAGACCAGTTTTCACCACAGGTCGCGTGTTTAACTGGTATTGGCTTCTCGTAAATGTTCTCTTCAATTGCAAATATCCTTCTGGATAAAAGAAAATTGTCTATATTCTTCCTTAAAGTACTATTTTGAGAACTGTTTGTAGTATTTACAAGATTTGAAGTCAAAGTTTCGGAGCTTTTTTGAAATGTGTTGCCGTAGGTCAGTTTTGGCGGCTCGGGATCTTCTCTGGTTTTTCTTTTAGCCAGAGAGATTATTCTTCGACGCATTGCAGACATGTTCGTCAACTCGCTCTTGAGGAGCGGGCCTTTTCGTTTGTCCGACGTCATCTCTGGCGACCAGGCGCCGTTCTCGGAGCAACTGCAGAAGTCCTTGATGAGCCTTGCGATAGCGTTACAGTTGTCGTCTACCGAACGTTCCCTAGGCATTGTACGATCTAAGATTCGTTATTTAACTGTCACTGCTAAGTAAGAGCACAGCAAATCACTGTTACCTAGTCAAGGGTTAATTTGGTTACACGACTGTTCTGTAACGCTTCCGTGTTCTCATCTCATTGTTATAGTTATGTCATTAGTAAAACTGCATCGTCGAAACCAGGTTATTTTTAATATATTCATTAAAGCGTCGATACAAGATTTTTGACACTTTCAACTAATTTAAAATTTTAGATGATGATGATAAATGTTAGATAAAATGAATGTTTTATGAAACTAATATCTTTGTTTAACATTTTCGAATACATTTGTGTTTTTAGAACACGTAATTTAATTACAGGTAAAAAAAAACAAAGATCACTCGAAAACCAATGAATCTAATTTAATGAAATATTTTACAGACAGAACCAGTGGCGAAATTGTATGTAATAATATTAATATTTCTCCATCAAAAATCTGATACTAAAACCTTCTTGTTATTCTGAAATGCTGTAATGAACAGTACTGTAATGTAATGAAATGGTTTCAGGTGATAATGATGGTGATATGTAAATAATGTGAAGACAAGTCATCTAACGTCATTGTCACATATCGACACCTTAATCAATAGGTATTTGCAAAACTGAGTTATGGCCAGAAAATGATTCTTTACAAACATATCGATCGATTACTTAACCGACTGCGTAATTTATGCGGTATAATGTATTTAACAATTTATTTATGTAGGTTAAAGAAACTCCTAAACGAATATACGATTATTCAAATGAGTGAATTTCACTTAGGGCGCAACAGTAATAAAATATGTGTTTGTATATTACATAAAACTTATGTTTTAAACATATTTATTTTGGGAATACACATTTTAAATTGTTCATCACTATGACACACTTACTTATCACCGCTTTTATTTTTTAAACACAACACACAGAGCGTCAGAACTGCTCGGTATCACGAACAACAATGATGAGTAAATACCGAAAATGACATGACGCACCGTTATGATTTATATACATAATTTTGTTTGAATACCAAGGCTTCATACAAAATATCATTTGAGATTAATTTGTTGAATGCCGCTGCGGGTATTTAATGTTGTGTCGTATTCAGGTAATTTATTTATTTATTTATTTTAAACTTAATGCACATATTGTACAAAGGCGGACTTAATGCCATTAGGCATTCTCTCCCAGTCAACCTTCAGGTGATGTAGAAATATGATGCGGTAGGTGCAAAATAAAATATGAAATTAACATAATTTAGGTCCAGAAACATACACAATATAAAAACACACATGCATACATAAACCTACATAAATTTAATAAAATATATAAATACTCAGTCGGGAACTAGAGCTGTAACTATTTCGCCAATTCACCCCGAAGAAGATCGCGCACTTTTCGCTTGAATGCGAGGCGATTTGTTGACATCCTGATTTCGGCAGGGAGGGCATTCCAGAGGAGGACTGACTGGACGTAGAAGGAGGAGTTGATGAAGTTAGAGGTGTGAGGGGGGCATAGAAGAAGCATATTGTTGGTTGATCAACAACATTTACAACTCCATATACGAGTATTTTGAACATCAGGCTTATTTTGAACTCTGTGGTTATCTCCCTTAGACGGCGTCTTAGTCTTACGACACCCAAGGGATGAAAATCGAGGTGGTGACATTGTATTCTTGATCCGTCACCACACAGACCTTCAGATATAACATCGACCAGATTATATATATATATATCGATAAAAATTTATATTAGCATATTATTACTGTTATTACCCTCGTGAAATGAATACGTTTAAGTATGTCATAAGATTTGATGACTGAGCGTTTTATTTTATTGAACATATTTTTGAATATAAATTTATAGAAATATTACAACTTTTCCTGTTAGAATCACAGTTTGATTGTGTTGTTTAGAATTTTATTATTTCAAAATATTTCATTTTAACACAAAATTTAATTTAGACACTGAACGTAGAATTCTCGGACTTTAGCTTAGAACGTGTCAGAACTTGCTGACATCCTGATCTCAAGTGGGAGCGCATTCGGTGAGTACCGATAGTATCACTTAGGTCGAGCCGGCACATTTCTGCCGAAGCATGGATTCTTGTATAGTCTTAATTTTATTTTTTAATTCTGGAAATACCTACTTTATAAAAGCTTTGTGAAAAGTAATGAGCTGTCATAAATTGGGACAAATGAAAGATGTGTTTATAATGCCAGCTCATTGTTACTTCTCAAAACAATGGCCATTTTAAAACTTTATTCACGTCATACTGAACAATTACCTACCGGCGATCCAGTACTTGTCATTATTATGACATACCTACTACACGTTATAAACTACTTCCTACATACCTACCTAGTTCAGTTGGATAAAAACGATAAGTCTAATAACTAGGAACTTTTTAACGATATTATCTTTGGTTTTTAATTTCCTTTTAAATTATGTACCGAGGCTAGTTAATAAATAGGTTCTATATTGGAAAACGGTATTTACGTAACTATAAAACCTTCAAGCACGCGAATAACATCGAAAGTATTAAAAGTGTTGGCGTTATTTCTCTATCTACCTATCTCTTCCTCACTCTCAAATTCTGAACGGTTGTTCATGCATTATTATCTACAGAAACCTGGCTTATTAGAGTTGGTTTCGTGTTAAGACAACATGTTAGAAATATTTTACTTTTTAAAAACGCAATATTGACGTGTAATCAAAATTAAATAATTATCAAAAACTATGGCATAGGCATGCGTTGTTATATAACATCAAAAGCATGAAACTAAATTATATTACCCATTATTATATTTTACCCATAACAAACGTCAAATCATTGTTAGGTGCATGGAAGTGATTGTATATATTCAAAAATCCACAATTTTCCTCAATCACACTGTATTTAACTATGTATCTACTACTGACCCGTACAACTTTGTCTGCTACTCTGAAAAGGAATAAATTTTCTCCATTTTCGCAACATTTTCATTGATACTCGGCTTCTATTCGTAGCAACATGATGTTTTATAGCCTACTAGCTGACCCTGCAAACGTTGTTTTGCTATTTACGTTATTTAATTATTATTTTTTTATTTCTTTAAAATCCGTTCTTAGCTGACCTCTACTCGGTGAAAAGAATATTCCTACCAAATTTCAAGTCTTTAGCTCTAATGGTTCCAGAGATATCGTGATGAGTGACTATATACGTGGAAATCTCTTATATATATAGATATCCTTCTTCAATAAAAGGGCTATCCAACACTATAAGACTTTTTCCGAACATACAAACTCCCAACTTTGCCTCGTTACATATTTATATAGGTAGATGTGTCTAAATATATAAAAGATTTAGACACAACTACCTATATACATATATATGTAACTTAATTTTAACAAAGTGATCATGACGGTTTGACCTGTTTGAAACGTCAGGCATTTCATTTGATCTATTAAACGCGTTAACTCCTGTGTATTATAATTATATAATACGTAACAAATGAAGTATTTATTTTTAATGTATCGTTTATTTCGTAATTTTCTATTTGTTACATATTTATATTCGGTAATAATTTCATCATTGAAACTCGTTACCTCCTTTACATTAAACGATATTATTGTTATGAAATGTCTGTAGATGAAACATAAATACTTTTTCTTTCATTTACTTCAGGTTATAACACTCTTTTATTATCTTAATTTGGAATTGTTTTATTGTTAAATTGTTTTATCGATATCAAACTTTGTATGTATGTATATAGTTTGGATAAAAATACTATTACTTGATATGTAAAAGCTGAAGGCCAATTCTCGTAATAAAAGTTCGGGGTCAATTCAGTTCACAGATCTCACAACTGTCATAAAAGGAATTTTCGTAGTATAATAGTAAAGTATTATTAATACCAGCAGATTACCATATTCAATTTTTCGTTACAATACGATATAATCACATTACAGTCAACGCTGCGTGTTTAATACTTTATTACGAAAATATATTTTATGACAGTTGTTAGATCGAAAGTTGATCAGAACTGAATTGAGACCGAACTTTTATTACGAGAATTGGCCTTCAGATCTTATGATGGAACTAGTATGTATGGAGAGTGGAACTCTTTATTGGCTCTCGAGTGGCGAGTCGAACTGCTCATGTTGTTGTTGTTATCATGTGGATAAAAATAACTCTTTATACTTTTAAATAAGGTTCACATTTGCCTAGTTTTTATTTGAATTTACTACACTACAGTTAAGTAATATTCCCAACAATTCGATAGTACGAAAATGATGCCATTTACTACGACAACAACTTCGAGTACATGACTGCGTGCTCAGTAGTATATTACGCTTTCTTTGTCGTATAACATGCAAATGTTTTAATTACGTTGTACTGGTGTAATTCCACGCATGGTGTACTCTGAAATCTTCACGGTATACCCTTTTGATTACTGTCAATAATTAACGTTAGATCCAATCTGTTTTCTTTATATTGCTGATATAAATATAATGAGAGCCTAGGAGAGCAAAAGAAAAGCTTAGAAAAGTTCTAGTCGAATGAAAGCTTTTTGGTTCGGGTAAAGTCTAGCTGAGTGACATCCCTGTAGAGGGTGCATTGCTCTTCTCAAAAGGATAAATTGATACGTCATTAGTACTATATTGTACAATATTTTTGCAATTTATTAAATTTAGGAGTACCTTATTATTCAAGTGTGGAGTTTCAACACCATGTTAACCTATTTATATTGAGTTAATTAGCTTTGAAAATAATAAAATAGCGTTTGTGTTGAATGGCTGAATATTATTTAGATTTCATTATGACTGAAAGCCCTTCCTAAAGAACAAAATAAATATATTTATTGTAATTTGCAAAATACCCATTAATTTATTATTAGGGTGCTATAAGATGTTGGGGCACCAGGGACTTCCTTTCTAGGGTATATATACCTGGTTCCCCGGCTATTAGTACCCGAGACGGCGTGGCGGCGCGGCGGCGTGGCGAAATGGCGTT